AAGATGTCCACAGAGCAGAAGTAACACACTAACATAGCGGAAGTAACACATTTAAACAACGGAAGTAACATGTCCATAGAGCAGAAGTAACACACTAACATAGCGGAAGTAACATGTCCATACAGCGGAAGTAACATGTCCATAGAGCAGAAGTAAGATGTCCACAGAGCAGAAGTAACACACTAACATAGCGGAAGTAACACATTTAAACAACGGAAGTAACATGTCCACAGAGTAGAAGTAACACACCAACATAGCGGAAGTAACACATTCAAACAACGGAAGTAACATGTCCATACAGCGGAAGTAACATGTCCACAGAGCAGAAGTAACACACTGACATAGCGGAAGTAACACATTCAAACAACGGAAGTAACATGTCCATAGAGCAGAAGTAACACACTAACATAGCGGAAGTAACATGTCCATACAGCGGAAGTAACATGTCCATAGAGCAGAAGTAAGATGTCCACAGAGCAGAAGTAACACACTAACATAGCGGAAGTAACACATTTAAACAGCGGAAGTAACATGTCCACAGAGCAGAAGTAACACACCAACATGGCGGAAGTAACATGTCCACAGAGCAGAAATAACACACTAACATAGCGGAAGTAACACATTCAAACAACGGAAGTAACATGTCCATACAGCGGAAGTAACATGTCCACAGAGCAGAAGTAACACACTGACATAGCGGAAGTAACACATTCAAACAACGGAAGTAACATGTCCATAGAGCAGAAGTAACACACTAACATAGCGGAAGTAACATGTCCATACAGCGGAAGTAACATGTCCATAGAGCAGAAGTAAGATGTCCACAGAGCAGAAGTAACACACTAACATAGCGGAAGTAACACATTTAAACAGCGGAAGTAACATGTCCACAGAGCAGAAGTAACACACCAACATGGCGGAAGTAACATGTCCACAGAGCAGAAGTAACACACTAACATAGCGGAAGTAACACATTTAAACAGCGGAAGTAACATGTCCACAGAGCAGAAGTAACACACTAACATAGTGGAAGTAACGCATTCAAACAACGGAAGTAACCTGTCCATAGAGCAGAAGTAACACACCAACATAGCGGAAGTAACACATTCAAACAACGGAAGTAACATGTCCACAGAGTAGAAGTAACACACCAACATAGCGGAAGTAACACATTCAAACAGCGGAAGTAACGTGTCCATAGAGCAGAAGTAACACACCAACATAGCGGAAGTAACACATTCAAACAACGGAAGTAACATGTCCACAGAGTAGAAGTAACACACCAACATAGCGGAAGTAACACATTCAAACAACGGAAGTAACATGTCCACAGAGCAGAAGTAACACACCAACATAGCGGAAGTAACACATTCAAACAACGGAAGTAACATGTCCACAGAGCAGAAGTAACACACCAACATAGCGGAAGTAACACATTCAAACAACGGAAGTAACATGTCCACAGAGTAGAAGTAACACACCAACATAGCGGAAGTAACACATTCAAACAACGGAAGTAACATGTCCACAGAGCAGAAGTAACACACTGACATAGCGGAAGTAACACATTCAAACAACGGAAGTAACATGTCCATACAGCGGAAGTACACACCAACATGGAGCAGAAGTAAGATGTCCACAGAGCAGAAGTAACACACTAACATAGCGGAAGTAAACAGCAGTAACATGTCCACAGCAGAAGTAACACACTAACATAGCGGAAGTAACATGTCCACAGCAGATGTAACACACCAACATAGCGGAAGTAACACATTCAAACAACGGAAGTAACATGTCCATAGAGCAGAAGTAACACACCAACATGGCGGAAGTAACACATTCAAACAACGGAAGTAACATGTCCACAGAGCAGAAGTAACACACTAACATAGCGGAAGTAACACATTCAAACAACGGAAGTAACATGTCCATACAGCGGAAGTAACATGTCCACAGAGCAGAAGTAACACACTGACATAGCGGAAGTAACACATTCAAACAACGGAAGTAACATGTCCATAGAGCAGAAGTAACACACTAACATAGCGGAAGTAACATGTCCATACAGCGGAAGTAACATGTCCATAGAGCGGAAGTAACATGTCCACAGTGCAGAAGTAACACACTAACATAGCGGAAGTAACATGTCCACAGAGGAGAAGTAACACACTAACATAACAGAAGTAGCGCATTCAAACAACGGAAGTAACCTGTCCATAGAGCAGAAGTAACACACCAACATGGCGGAAGTAACACATTCAAACAACGGAAGTAACATGCCCACAGAGTAGAAGTAACACACTAACATAGCGGAAGTAACACATTCAAACAACGGAAGTAACATGTCCATACAGCGGAAGTAACATGTCCACAGAGCAGAAGTAACACACTGACATAGCGGAAGTAACACATTCAAACAACGGAAGTAACACGTCCATAGAGCAGAAGTAACACACTAACATAGCGGAAGTAACATGTCCATACAGCGGAAGTAACATGTCCATAGAGCAGAAGTAAGATGTCCACAGAGCAGAAGTAACACACTAACATAGCGGAAGTAACACATTTAAACAGCGGAAGTAACATGTCCACAGAGCAGAAGTAACACACTAACATAGCGGAAGTAACACATTTAAACAGCGGAAGTAACATGTCCACAGAGCAGAAGTAACACACTAACATAGCGGAAGTAACATGTCCACAGCAGATGTAACACACCAACATAGCGGAAGTAACACATTCAAACAACGGAAGTAACATGTCCACAGAGCAGAAGTAACACACCAACATAGCGGAAGTAACACATTCAAACAACGGAAGTAACCTGTCCACAGAATAGAAGTAACACACCAACATAGCGGAAGTAACACATTCAAACAACGGAAGTAACATGTCCACAGAGTAGAAGTAACACACCAACATAGCGGAAGTAACACATTCAAACAACGGAAGTAACATGTCCACAGAGCAGAAGTAACACACCAACATAGCGGAAGTAACACATTCAAACAACGGAAGTAACATGTCCACAGAGTAGAAGTAACACACCAACATAGCGGAAGTAACACATTCAAACAACGGAAGTAACATGTCCACAGAGTAGAAGTAACACACCAACATAGCGGAAGTAACACATTTAAACAGCGGAAGTAACATGTCCATACAGCAGAAGTAACTGGGTGAAGACCGCACACAATAACATGTTTATATGCGCACATATATAAAATTTATATTCAAGCACCATTCTGTCGAAGTTGTAAGGACCTAAATATACTAAACGAAAAAACGAATGTTTTTCATTTATGTCCAAGACCTACCATTACAGAACAAAGGGTGTTCCTGGGGGATAACACTGGTATAAGGACGCAAGGAGCGTACACTAAAACAGGACTAGGCATGCGCTTGGTGGACCCTCCACGCGTGTCCATTCAGTTCACACAACACACTTAGGTACAAGGAAGGGATCTATTCAGCTGTCACACAACACATCGAGATAGAAGGAAGGGGTCCAATCAGTTCACACAACACACCGAGCTGCAGCTAAAGAGATCCATTCAGCCATCACAACACACCGAGATACAGAAAAGGGATCCATTCTGCCGTCACAACACACCGAGCTACAGAAAAAGGGATCCATTCTGACATCACAACACATCGAACTACAGAGAAAGGGATCCATTCAGCCGTCACAACACACCGAGATAGAGGAAAAGAGATCCATTCAGCCGTCACAACACACCGAGATACAGAAAAAGGGATCCATTTAGCCGTCATAACACACCGAGCTACAGAAAAAGGGATCCATTCAGCCGTCACAACACACCGAGATACAGAAAAAGGGATCCATTTAGCCGTCATAACACACCGAGCTTCAGAAAAAGGGATCCATTCAGCCATCACAACACACCGAGCTACAGAAAAAGGGATCCATTCTGACATCACAACACACCGAGCTACAGAAAAAGGGATCCATTCAGTCGTCACAACACACCGAGTTTCAGAAAAAGGGATCCATTCTGCCATCACAACACATCGTACTACAGAGAAAGGGATCCATTCAGCCGTCACAACACACCGAGCTACAGAGAAAGGGATCCATTCTGCCGTCACAACACACCGAGCTACAGAAAAAGGATCCATTCTGCCGTCACAACACACCGAGCTACAGAGAAAGGGATCCATTCTGCTGTCACAACACACCGAGCTTCAGAAAAAGGGATCCATTCAGCCGTCACAACACACCGAGATAGAGGAAAAGGGATCCATTCAGCCGTCACAACACACCGCTACAGAAAAAAGGATCCATTCTGCCGTCACAACACACCAAGCTACAGAGAAAGGGATCCATTCTGCTGCCACAACACACCGAGCTACAGAGAAAGGGATCCATTCTGCCATCACAACACACCGCTACAGAAAAAAGGATCCATTCTGCCGTCACAACACACCAAGCTACAGAGAAAGGGATCCATTCAGCCATCACAACACACCGCTACAGAAAAAAGGATCCATTCTGCCGTCACAACACACCAAGCTACAGAGAAAGGGATCCATTCTGCTGCCACAACACACCGAGCTACAGAGAAAGGGATCCATTCTGCCATCACAACACACCGAGCTACAGAAAAAAGGATCCATTCTGCCGTCACAACACACCGAGCTACAGAGAAAGGGATCCATTCTGCCGTCACAACACACCGAGCTACAGAAAAAGGGATCCATTCTGCCATCACAACACACCGAGCTACAGAAAAAGGGATCCATTCAGCCGTCACAACACACCGAGCTACAGAAAAAGGGATCCATTCTGCCATCACAACACACCGAGCTACAGAAAAAAGGATCCATTCTGCCATCACAACACACCCAGCTACAGAGAGGGATCCATTCAGCCGTCACAACACACCGTGCTACAGAGAAAGGGATCCATTCAGCCGTCACAACACAGTTCAGTATCAGATATTTGTTTTGACGTAATACGAGTGTTTAATGCAACTTACAGTTTCCCAATTGCCCGCCATTTCGCAACAATGCCGCCAAACACTGTTGCCTTGCTGTGGGAATCCAAGTTAAACAGTCGCTGACCGTTGCCCTCACACATTCTGGCAGCCTCGTTCCACGTCATGGAATTCTCGTATAGTGTGAAGTGCATCGGCTCAAAAGGTAGCCCCACGACTGAAATATGCAATTTCAAATTTCTGGTTTGCAAAAAGGCCTCGAAGTTGACTGATATTGGCTGGTATCACCTGCTGTAAATGGTTAATTGGCGTGTTTCAATTGTTTCACAGCATGTGCTCAGTTTCAGTTATGTCTGATCTGTCGGGACTTCTGCTTTCAAATGTCAGTTAAAGCTACAACTGCGTTTGATTATATAACAGTAGTTGAGGCGAAATATTGTACAAATCAAAATGGATTTCCATATAAAGAATGGAATGAGTACCTAAAAACAATGAACTAAGTAATGCGTTACACAAACTCCAGTAACAACTCAGAACAAATAATTCTCCAGGTGCGCTTTCATATAGCAATATACATGTCGGTTTGGAAATCGGAGTCAAAACGTTTAATTCTACGCTGAATCATGCAGCTCGTACGTTGGGTTCTTAATTCATACCTCTACGAACAGAAGAAAATACACGGTCAATACACGAAAAGCAAATGGTAAATTAATAAAAAAATAAATAAATCAAAGCAGAAAAAATGGCGTGATTAACAGATATTCCAAGTGGAGGGAATACATATATATGTGGCGTGGAGTGAATCATGTCGTTGTTTAGTTTATGCACAAAACCTGACACTCAAACAAAGTCAGTAGCCAATCAACAGAGAATAGCAAGTTCAAAGGACCTGTCAATCAAGAAAAGAGGGAAGAAGAAGAACACATTATTGCGAACCGGTGCACATATTTCAGGGCGCCAAATTCAAAAGTTGGTTCCCAGACAACGGGCAGACACAGATGGAAAATGAGAGTTAGAGAGTTGAAACCCGAAGACAAATAGTTTAGAAATCCAGGTGATCGAGGGTGTAGAGCCTGCACGTGTACTGTTTTGTTCCTTCCGGGTGGTATCATCAATATCGCTTAAACTCCGTTTTATGATCATGCAGGAGTAGTATATACAATGATTGTCCGAGATCAAGTCCAACAAAAGCCTTAGATCTCGCCCCCATTGTATAGACTACTTTTGAACCCCAGTTAACTTCCCGGCCCCCACGTGACACAATAGTGTCACTATGACCGCGATCCTGATCACGTGGCACTATGTCGTTTGAAACAGTTTAATGTTTCGTACCCCTTGTTCTATGTACTTTTTTTTCTCGTCTTTGCTGATAGCAGACTTACGAGACTTGAGCCGGATTTCTTGTTTCATCTTACGGTACTTGTCGAATTCAGAGAGGATTGAACGAGATTCCTCCTCTGAGATCTTACTGTCAGTGAGTGCTTTGGAAATGCGCTCACTTACAGTGTTCAGCTTTGCTCCGGCCAGAATCCTGATCTCGTCGTGTTTCAATGCCTTCCGATGCAGTCTGCGTGACACAAACTTAAACACCAATCCAGCCAACCCTGACACCCCAGCTGTTATTTCGATGCCTAGCACTGCGGGTGCGGTTATGATGGTGGCCAACAACACCACACCTACTGCCCCTAACCCCATACTGGTAGCCATAAGGGCGGTATCAACCCCATCCACGACATTGAAAGCTCTATGGTACTTCTTATACAATGCTGCCCGTGTGTCGTGGTCTTGTTCTAGTTCGCGTTTTATGTCACATAACTGTCTCAAGCGGAACCCGTCTACGGTTTCCAGTGGCTTCGGGACTTCCTCTGCGACTGGGTACAGACCCATCCTGTGTACATATAATATATTCTAAAAAATATCTTTAAAATGTGCGTAATTTACTTTTTGCTCAGTGTATTTGAAGCTTACAAGTCTTAGACCCTTGTACAGGGAAATAAGGGAGAGGTAAATAGGTAACTGTGCGCCCACATGAACATCATCGAGGGAGCCTCCTAAGGAGTGTTTTGAGGGGACTATAGAACCCATTGAGGGGTCCGGTTGTATGAAGATACGGCAATGTTCGCCCAGGCTTAGGGCGTCATAGTGTTTTGTCACCCCGGGTAAAAGTTGCTGTTCTACAGGATCACCCCACATGAAGAAGACTTCTATGGCGAGTGTGGAGCCTGGTTTCACCTTCATAAGGTCCAATTGGGAATTGGGGACGTCAAACGTTAACTCGTCCTCCAAGCCTGAAGTAACTAACATGTTACCCGTGTGATCCCCCATTAGTTGAGTACTTATACCATACTTCAGAACGAAAGCCCCGAACAAGATACCATTGTTCCTAATTTCGGAGATATGCCTATTTTTGTCAAACGCGATATAAAGTTCGGTGAGGGTCATGTTGAGCAACCATTTGGGTTCTATAAAGTGGTCTGGCAAACGCCTCCGCACGTACACGCCGTTTCTTAAGTGCAGGACGTACGAGGTGTCTTCCTCACCGGGCAGATCGAATCCCTCCGTGTCTCCTAGATCGTTAAGTGTGGCGTTGGGTCGATGACTAGTCATTGTTATATTACTATCATAAGATGGTTTCCAACTGTTTTTCTAATAATTTCTCAGGGGTGCACTTCACCCCCATGAAGTGTACGTTGTCGGGTAGGAAGATCTTGGTGAGTGATATCGTGTCTTCCACGGTCACGGTGACCCCCTGCAGACTGATGTGGGAGTCGACACCCACCCGCACGTAAACAGTGCAAACCTGATACTGGTGCCGTTTCACCCACCGGAGTTTGATCCCCTTCACGATTTCGACTTCATCTGGCGATGGGGGAGCCAAGCGTAATGTTGAGAAACCAGTCGACTTTAGCGGGCAACAACACCCACTTGTCGTCGTCGGTGAAGACGAGCGTTTATGGCTTGTTTCGCGCGACGGTCGTGCTATCAACATCTTCTAAGTCAAACAGTTTGCCTCCGAACGATTGGGATACCGCCCATCTATCATCGCCGATACGGACTTGGTCGAACCGAGTGTTGAGGGCCGCTCCTGAGACATCTACTATGTCACCTAGGGTTCTACCGATGGAGGGGACTTCAACACGTTTGTAAATGTTGTTTTTCAGCTGCAAGGCGTACAGTTTACCATCTACTCCGGGGTCGTCGAATCCGCGTGTGTCCCCGAGGTCGGAGATCCCTGTATTAATGCATTTTTTCAACCTTATTCCGGGACCTTGTGCGCTAGTCATTTTATGTGCAGCGTTATGCTGAGGTACCCTATATTCACAGGATTATGCTTTATATCTAACACTGATATTATCAACTCAGGGATGTTGCCCCGAGTTAACCTCTTATACTGACGCGGTGAAAACGACTCGGTTCTACGTCGTTGTATTTCTCCGTTTTCACCGGTATGGCTCTCAGTATCGTGGAAGGGTGGCCACCTTGAATGTTGTCCGTTGTGCTCAACTGGCCGAGATGAATGCACAGCTCTTGGTACGGTACTAGGTCGGGTAACTTCGTGCCTGTGACGGTAGTTGTGGGTTTTATCTGGTCCGGCGACATCCCGAGTGTCCTCGCCAATGGTCGGCCAAGCCTCAAGGGGTTTATTCCGTTGTTGATTAACACCACTGTGCCGTTTGAGTCATTCATTTTGAGTTCGGCTCCCAAGGGTTTGAAGACCTCGTCGCTTAGCGAGCACACGCTGTAGTAGCCGTCAGTCATCTGGTTGCGGGTGCCACTGACGAACAGCTTGTTGTTGTTGACGTTGATGTTAGTCCATCGCGGTAGGTAGGTGATATCGCAGAGTGCGACTTCGAGTTGGCCCGATGTGTTATCGATCGCGTGTATCAACTGAACGGACTCGCCGCTCGTTATTCCGGAAAGTGGTAAGTACATGTTAGAGTATATGTACCCATTATATAATACTTTAAAAAATGTACAAGCCAGGAGTGTTTTACCCTAAACTGGACATAGATTTCCCACACATGAAGATTGTGGTCGACGCTGCTGGGCTGTATTTCAGTGCCCAGTTTATAGATGTGTTCGACCGGTATAAGCTTTCGGTGACTAACGCCAAGGCAGTCCACGCTTGGTTCAACAACCCCATGCAGTTCTGGCAGAATCAACTCAACTTCGCCGTGTGGTGCGCTACAACGGGGTGTGGCTTGACATTGACCGACACTCGGCGGGGACCGCTGAGTAGGTCTGTGTTCACCTTTCACGTGTACTACCAGGTCAGGCGTATCCTCAAAGAGATCAGCGCCCCACTTCCACAGGACAAGGCGTGGGATGCATCAAACAATCCACACGATCGGCGTGCTTACGAACGGATTTGTGGTGAATTCGGAATCGATCCTAAAACGGATTGGCGTATACCAGGAGGAGTGAACCACGGGTTGGGTATTCCGTACAGTGTTGGGCTCTCCGTAAAAGCATTACGAAAAGATACAGTGGTAAACTTTATGAAACACAATATGTTTAGTACGGGTAATTTCTTCCATGCATTCTCCAACCTCGTTCCTAAACCCATACACAGTGGATCAAAACCGGTGAAAGAAGCCAGCGATGATCTACTGAAACAAGGTTTACTTCGGCCAGAATTTGCTCTGTCAAGTAACGAATGGTGAGATGATCGTATGGACTTTACAGGCGACGTTGGTTTCACCATAAAAAGGTCGAGCAACCCCCCTACGTTGAAGACAATTCGAAAGTATATATGCTGGACACGTCGAAAGGGTTTACTCGTGCCGGCACCGGCCTTACCAGCAAGTTTAGCCAGGGCCTCCCCGAGGGATTTCAGGTGTTTTTTTATCCAGTCTCTGACGCCACCATTGGGTGTACCATCTGGTGTACCACCACTTGGGGCACCCCCACTCAGCGACATGACCAGGGTTGATATGATGAATCCCAATGCAGTCAGAATGCTGGCGATAGTAATCCCTTGCTCTCGGAAGAGAATTCGGATCCTGTTGGCCAACGTGGTGTCTTCACTAAGGACTCAATCGATGGTTTCCCGCACACGGCTGATCTGGGATCAAAGCTGTTCCCGGTTGGAGGAAGCGGATTCCAACCGAGTCCGTCTCTCATCTTGTAAGCCACTCAGCCGTTTTTCGATATGGCGCTTCATATCCTCATCATCTTGTACCTGACTGAGTTTTACTTTCTCGAGAGCGATGTGCT